TGCAAAGTTTAAAATACACATACTTTTTGGATCCAACAATTGCACTTTTGAGAAATTTTCCTACGGCTGCACTTAGAGATAGATGTGTACAAGAATGTAAGCAGCACTACTAGTTTCAATAAGCTTTAATTTTTATAAGCTTTCAATTTACAGCAAAATTGCAAAGATAGTACAGAGTTCCCAGACACCCTATACCCAGTTTCTACTATCATCACCATCCTACATTAGGATGGTACATTTATTACAAATAACTGACCATACCTCCATCTATACATATAAAAGCCTAAGCAACCAAACAACCGGTCGACCGGTCACTATGATGCGCACTGACCACCAGGGGGCAGATGCTCAATGCAGGAGCTGCGCCCTGGTGGTCAGTGAGCTCCCATAGTCAACCTCCCACGGCCCCGATCGACCCTGATCTCCAGCCAGGTCGAGGGACCCCACCCGTGCACGAATTCATGCACCGGGCCTCTAGCATTATTATGAATGAAGTTCACACTTTACTCATACATCCTTAATTTTTCCTTAATGTTCTATTTTTGCTCTAGGATCTCACCCAGAGACCATATTACGTTTAGATGTCATGTCTCCTTAGACACCTCTTGGCTGTGACAGTTTCCCAGACCTGCCTTGTTCTTGATGACTTTTGACAGTTTTGAGGAGCACTGGTCAGGTACTTGGCCAAATGTGCTTCAATTGGGATTTGTCCGATGTTCTCCTCATGAGTAGACTAGGACTATGGGTTTTTAGGGAAGACCCAGAGGTAAAGTGCCATTTTCATCATCTTTGATCAAAAGTACATATTATCCTCAACGGGGTGGAAACAAAATAAAATAATATCAAATCTCCTGGGAAAAAAATAAAAAGGTGCATACTATCAACATGACTTAAATCGCCATTGAAGCGGACCTTGGTCACCTCGCTGCGGTAACGTCTCCACTGTAACATCACTCTTTCTCCCCTTTCCATCTGTCCTCTTTGGAAGGAACCCACTGTGTGCAGCCCACACTGGAGGAATAAGGCGCTACACTCCTCTCTCTGAGCAGGAGTATCTGCATCCATTATGTGGAATTGTTTCTATAGAAGACTTGTGTTTTCCCCTGTTTATTCAGACATTTATTGTTATCAGTATGGACTCATGACTCTCAATTTTATACTTTGGGTTATAATCCGATATTCAAATTGTCCCAGGTTTGGCCAATTTGAAGGAAGAGGGAGAGAGAGATAGAAACATCAATGAGGAAGTTCTTTCAGTTGGTTCTTGTCTCTCTTGACATACCCCCATGACTGTGGGCTCATTTGTTTGAGCACTTCCTCTGTTTCTGGTACAAGATGCTCCAGGCTCATCTTGTATGTTTCCTGCCCCAGCCACCCCTGTCCTAGAATCAGCCATTTCTCCCAGGACTCATGTTCCTTTAATCGGAGAATGGTATAAGAAGCCATGTTCTGGAGCTAGATATGTTCTTCTAGGCTCTCAGCTGACAGAGCAAGGAAATATATGTATGCATACTAACCCATGACTAGCTCAGCTCTAAAAATAAGCTTGACTAAATTTCCATCTGAACCTTAAGCATTCTCTCAATAATCTTGAGGACTATAATAGTAAGTAAAGATGAAAGGAGGTCACCTTGCTTTAAAACCAATTATCTTACCATAGGAAATCCATTTTAAATAGTGTTCAGCTCAAGAAGAGCCCAGGACTTTTGGGTGGTTGGTTGTTGTTTTGGTATTATGTTAGAATATCCTTATGGTTAAGTGACAACCACTCTCTTCACAACTTCCTCCACAAGTTCCAAATGACACATTACTATGTTGACCAGTTTAGTGGACAGCCATCATTTGTGTTGGCCCAGCCTGCATCCCCCCACCCCCTTCTGGTAGTGGCACACCATTCTTTTTTTGGACAACTACTCCAATCCATTGGTCTTTGTGGGAGCTGCCAATCAAAGTGCCCCACCCTCCCCCCTGGCCAAAGGACTTAAACACATGACCCAAACTATGTCAATTAGACATTCTTCCTGTAATTTACAGGCCTACCACCAGCTCTAGAGTAGGCAATCCTCACCCGGAGGGACAAGGTTTTATTCATCTCTGTATCTCTGATGCCTAGCACAGTGCCTGGCTATGAATATTCAATGCATGTGGGTTGAATAAGTTACAAAGAAAATCATATACCTTAAACAAATGCTAAGCTAAGTCTGTCATTTCCCAACAGAATTCTGGAAGGGGAGCAAATTGTATGATGTTTTGTAAGGGAAATGTCCATTTCGGTAGCTAGGAAATATGCATTGGAAATAGTATCCCAAGTTGCCATTTCTCAGTACATTAGAGATGTCAATCAGTCCAATAAAATAAAGCCCCCAAAAAGACAAAAGGAGAATTACCTCATTACCTCAACATCTGCTTGCACATAAGCAATCGCGCACTGGCTAATTTTTTTTAAAGGACATAATATAACTTTCTGGAAAGACATAATATAGCTAATTATACCATTCACTAGAAGGGAACATACAATGTTTTGAAGTAATTCAGAAGTGGGTGTGATTTATAAGACATGAGCTTAGGGAATGGTAAGTATAAATTAGAGATTGCTCATATTATGACAGACTCCGTCATTACATTTCACAACTTTTGTCAAAAGCAACCTTATTCACCACACCACTGAAGGCTTCACATTAGGGAGGGCTGCTGTCAGCTCTGCCATTCAGAGTAGATAGCATCCTTCTCTCTGAGCTCCCTCCTGGGGAATGGGTTCAAATTTCAGACTTAAAACTCACTAAGGAAGGAACAATACGGTGAAACCTCAACGGTCGATAAACATGTGAAAAGATTTCAAACCTCACTAATAACCAGATAATACAGATCTCTTTAAAGGTACCACTTTTGTTCATTAGATTGGCAAAATTAAGAAACTTGTCAGGCTGTCAAAATTAATAAAGAGTGCTGTTGGTCAATGTTGACCACTGTGTGGTGTCATGGGTACTGCTGGGGGCGGGGAGGATGTGAACTGGTATTGCCATTTTGGGGGGCACTTTTGCAATGTCCAGCAAAACTTTATGTGTACATACCTTCTAATCCAAACAAGTCCATTTCTAAGAATCTATCCTAGAAAAAATATTTGTAATTGTACAAATTTATTTACATGATTATTTTATGAATGACTGTCTACCAGACAATAAACTTGGTGAGAGCAAAGACTGGTTCACCATCCCACCCTCAATGCCTAGCACATGGGCCTTATATATGGTAGGTATCTCATAAGTATTGGTTAAAAGAATAAATGAACATGTTTACTCAGCATTAAAAAAGGAAAATAGAATATTTGATGGATATTAGTTCTTGTTCACATTAAATAGGGGTTAGTGGAGTTATTCACAATGTTATTAACAGGTAATACAAAGTAGTGTCTACTTTCACAAATAAATTATACACACCATCAGCTTACAAAATTGATTATAATATTAGTAAGAGCCCAAACATCTAGTTGCCTGCTTTTCCACCTCAAGTCCCTATTTTCCCAGTGAGTTCCATTGGTCAAACAGCAATTAAATACTCTCAAACTTGTTAGCACAGTCTATGATCCAATGACAAATGCCCTGGTTCTGAGATGCATAGAATTCACACTGTGGGCTGCAAAAAGTTCCAACACCTGGGTCACCAGACTCAATATCCTAAAAAACATAAAAGTGTACCTTTTAAGAAATACAGATTTCAAACTCTAACTGGTCTATTGCCTCTGCTATGTCTATAACCAAGGAAATGCATCCTCTGAAAATACCAATGACATGGATTTGTTTTCCAGTATGAGAAAGAACCAGAAACTTAAGACTCCACCCTTTTTCCCAGCTCTCATATCCAATATAGAGACAGAGAATGTATCCCAAAATCAAATATAAACAACTTGTGGGTTATCTGCATTGTTACTCTACCCTTGAAATTATATACAGAATGGGGGGGGGGGGGGGGGGGGGAGGGGAATTTTTATCTTCTTCTTATTTGAAACTGACCATCCATGAAAAGATCTGGTACCCAGTGGCCAATATTACCAATAATGAAATCTCTAGAATCTGAAGTAAGAATCTTTAGGGAATGGTAAAAACGTGAAGGGGGACAAGAGGGTCAAACTTCCAGTTATAAAATAAATAAATCACGGGAATATAATGTATATAGCACAGGGAATATAGTCAATAATATAATAACTTTGTCAACTAGCAGATGGTTACTAGATTTTTTGCTGTGATTCTATCATAAGATATACATAAGTGTCGAATCACTAGATTGTACATCTGAAACTAATATATGTCAACTATATTTGAATTTTAAAAAGGCTTTATGTGATTGGGGGCTGTTATTAGAAAATTTAAAAATACTCATAGAATCCAGCCCTTCACTAAAACACTTCAGGAATTTTGCCTACCCACCAGATTCACTGATGCCTGTGACTTTATGACCTTGGGCTAATCTACAATAGGAGTTGAAGGTACTGGGAAGGCAAAATCCACACACATTTTTCCAGATACCACAGAGGAACGCGTTCTGACATCTCGGTCAGGTTCAAGAATATCCCCAAGTTCACACAGTAAACAGATGTGTTTCCAGGAGTATGTACTCCAAAAAGATTCACATATCCCTGCAAAGTCACGGCACTGGGCAGGACCTCATGAAATCACCTGCGTTAGCTCTCGCCTTTAGTCAGGTAAGACTTAACCATAAGAGGCCTGGAAAAGGAAACCGCCTCCTCCAAGTTCACAGCGTTGGTGAGCTGAGCAAAGAGAAGTGAAACAGCTGGGACTACCCACCAAGGATCAGCCTCAGAGAAGGGCCCTCTGTGGCTCTTCTACAAACTGGCCATGTCAGCAAGTTGGTCAGAACAGCGCATTTCCCGAGATGTGGCTACTTCCTACATCTGTGTGGTTCCTCTCTTTCTTGACCCGTACCCTCAGTCCACCTTTGGTCAGGGTAATGAGAATTTCACATTTTAAAAGGGTGAGGCTCACGTGAATTTGCCTTTGTTCAGAAGTGTGGTAAGAGACGAGAAGGACTGATTCAAACCATTCTTCAGGAAGGGATCATCTCCCATTCCCAGGCGGCGTGGCAAGGCATGGGCATGCCTGGCTTTCCGGGGGGAGGAGAGCCTCGTGTTAATTCAGGAAGCCGGACACAGGCGAGGTCTTGTCTCCCTGACTAATAATAAATTGCTAAAAAACGAGAAGTGATCAAACGTATCGTGGCCTGAAAATCCTAGCTGGGTGAAGAAAGAGGAACTAGAGCCAACCAGGCTGAAAAGCTGGGAAGGCTGGAGCGCAAGCTGCAGGCCTCCCGGCACCAAGGGGCAAGGGTGGAGCCACGCTAGGGAGCAGGGCCAGCTGAGCTGCCGCACCACCCCCTCCCAAGGCACCCAGCCCCACGCGCTAATCCCGCGGGGAAGGCGGGACCGTGGGGCCAAATCCTCGCCGAATCCTCGTCCCTTCCCCCCACTCCCCAGATCGCCAGCTAAAGCCACCGGCGGGCAGCATTC